AAAGCACACCTGCTCTGCTGTGGCAGAGCAGCAAGATCCTAAGAAAGAGATGTCCAATGTCTTCAGAAATTTGATAGGCTGCCACAAGAATAGCTGTGGTGGCTACAGCTACTGAAAGAGGATGAAAATAGAGCAGACAAACAGCAGTTCCTTTTTTTGAGTTTGGGGTATCATTTTTCCTCCTGCAGCCAGAGTGGTGGAGTTCCTGGGGCAGAGCTCACCTCCACATTCGTGGGCAGCTATCCACCACCCTTTGCATGCTGCACCTTGGAGCTCAACCATTCTCCAGCCCTACCCCATCTCTTAGCTTCTCCCATTTTTCTGCAGGCTGTGGCATCCTGATCCTCTATTGCACTGGCAAGGGCTTTTTTCAAGGGAAGGCAGGGAGGCAGATACCTCAGAGCTGCTGTCCTGCTCCTGACTCTATGAGCACACCTTCCCGGGGCTGAGTGATCCTATAAGCCAACAGGATGACCAAACCCCAGATAATCTGTTTGTTCAACAACCCAGTCTGGAGGAGGGAAATCAAACTTTCAGAGCAAACTTCTGTGCACAATACAGCAACATGCATCAATAAACTCTTCCCCGTTTTTAATTTCTTGTCATGTGTTCAGCGCTCAGTCAGTAGTGCCTTAGAAACATCTTGCTAGCTGCCCACACTCAAAAGGAGAACAGCAACAACCACAAAGGGAAATATACAGAGGGATGGCCTAAGTCAGTTTGGAAATCGCTTCCCATATGAAACACTCCTTTAGTCACGAGCACAGAAAAGCATCAAAATTCCCTGCTTCTGATGTAAACAACAGAAAGAAAAAGTCATCTGGAAGGACAAGGTGATTCATACTGAGGACCTGACTCGTAATATTCATCAGTGTTGAAACTGCCTCTGCAAGATGATTACATGTGAAAATAGCACCAGTGAAATCCTAGCTTCTGCCGTGAGAAGTATCATTAGCGGCAAAGTGGTGTGGTGAGACTCCAGTGCCACAACACTTGCTCGGGTGAGTAATCATAAGTCATCCAACCAGTCCCAGCTAAAACAGCACTGTCATTCAGGTAAGACTGCTTTACATAAGGGCAGCTGCAGCAAACTGGAGCACACTCAGGCTTTGCAGCCCTCTTTAACTGCAAAATAGAAGGTTTTTTCTTGGTCTTGTAAAAACTCCTGCTGAGGGTTCCCTTACAAAAACGCTGCTCAAGTTGAGCGCTTGAAGAAGACTGGAAAATTTGGTCAGTCTTTTCCTTTATGTAAATTGCCCTGCCCCAAGTGGTAACAGGGTACAAAAGGCCATGCTGACTTTATGCATTGTTAGGAGATACTTTCCCCTGAACATTTGAATCTGTTTACTTAATCTTCCAGGCCTTCACCCATGAATATTAAATTACTTGATCACTATGCATTAGGAGTCATCTTCGCACCATCTGTTTGTATTTGTCATCTAACCCTTGTAAATAATAAAATGTACTTTGTTCTCAAGTTCATGGATCCTAGCAGGAGAGCAATTGCTGTAGAGGAAAAGTACTGTGTGAAACTATTGGCAGTGACAGGACTCTTCTTTAAGTCCCCATTTTGCCACTATACAGTAATTAAATGAAAGCCAAGATTTGCCCCAAAGAGTAATGCTTAACTTCCATGGTTTCCTTGAAGGCCCTGAAAGTGTGCAGGCATGCTCACCTATGCTTCTAAAAGAAGGCAATGTCAGAAGAGAAGGCTGCACTTCAGGGGAGCAGCCTTTCTGAGCACCAGGCATGCTCACAGGAGCTAGCCGCCCTACTCAGGCAAAAACATGTGGCTGTTTAACAGGGTGGTCTGGGCAACTGGCCTGGGCAAACTTTCTAAGAGGTACTGACAGAGAAGAAACATCTGAGGAAAAAGTAGTAAATGAGTGGATGTACAAAGTTGCTCTCACACTTAGGAGTGCCATTAAGGAAGTGAAATTGTCACCCATCAGCTGAGAGGTAAAGTTCAAGGAAGGATAGGCAAATATCAAAGAAAACAATGAGAAAACACAGTTGTTACAATATGAAATTAATCCTTAGAGGAAGCTCTGCCTGAAAATTTGATTAGATCACACAATGAGAACAGCCTTGACACATATTACCAAGGTTCAGTTTCAACTATCAATGCAGATAAATGTGTGAATCCTTAGGACAGCAGTCACATGAGTAACAATAAACACGCGCCATGGCTGAAGACCTCTGTGGACAACAAAAACTGGCTGGCGAGCACACCTCACAGGCATGGTGCCCTGGGAAACTGATCAGAGACATACTTTGCAGCAGACTCACAATTATTTACATGCCCTAAGGATTTGTCTCTCTGTGCTTTTATAAATTAACCTATATGCCAGGCAACTATCAATAAGCACTCAAATTGCTACTGTCTAGTTAAAACCTAATGTAGCTGGTTAAAGAAGGGATCATTTAGGAGATTAAATGGAATCATATTATTTCTATCTGACGTGTTGGTAGCAACAAATTTAGGCAAGAAAATGGTTGTCAAATATTTGCTTAACTGGAAGAGTTATCTGGGCTTGGACAAGATACCACTTGCCACTCTGCTCAGCCTTGCAAACATCCCACACTAGGAGGTTACCTATTAAGTGATAGACAATATATCTTGTTAATTGTTAGAGCATGATGACCCTAGACTTTGCCCAGGTATTTAATAAAACCATCTGCTGTCTAGGTCTGCAATACTATTATTTTTACATGAGGATTAGTCTTCTTGCTTCACAAAAAAGGTTGTAATAACTGTGCTAAAGGAGAGCAGAGCAGCATGGTATTTCAACTCAGCTGTCCAAGTAAAATATACAGGTGGTGCAGCTCACCCCAAAAATCCCAGATCATTGTCTTGAATCTGGAAATCATGATGTGCTGAAGGCTGAGGGGCTGTGATCCAACCTTGTGGACTGCACTTGGGAAAAACTCCTGTGTCTTGCCTGATAACGAGCTGGGAGTGAATTCCACTGTGGTGCAGGCTGCCAGTTGCTTTGCTCTTTCTGTCACCGTTGCTGTTTCCTTCCCCAAATCAACAGCAAGGGTCCAAAGGCCACCATTTAGTAATCACTGTGCCTTCAGATCTTTTTCTCTTTGACAACATGCTTTTAAAGCATGTGCATTAAGTGCCAAATAATCTATATCTATAACTATAAAGGGTCCAATTCCGTTCTTGCTGAGAGTGATGTGATTTTTGGCCTGAGCTTCTCAGAGAATTTAGGGGAGGGAAGAAAACAGTGGATTTCTCTGTGCAGCTGGTGTCTTCTGGTCAGTGCTTCCATGGGGCTTTGTGTAAAGCCATTCCCAGTGTGCCGGGAACCTGAGCCTACTGGATTCAGTAACAAAAGTATCAACAACTGAGATTAGTCAGTTTCTCACTCTGGAATGTTGCAATTTTTGTGCAAATAGTCTTTTCCTCTGAATAAAGAGAAGCTGAAACCCGGTAGCTGGTGAGCTGCCAGATGGAGGAAGCATTAGAGGTGTGAACACCAAAATGCTCCAAAAAACAAGGCCAAGAGAAAGAGCCCAGACCATACTTTAAATTAAAAAGTGCACATTTGCAGTGTGGTTTTTTAAATGTTTTTATTTTGCTTACTCCTTATGTCACTCCAGTGTGTGTATGAGGAATACAACAATCGTGAATCCTCCACACTCTCCAGCTTAATGCCTATATAAGATCTAGGAGAAGGAGTACTTTACTCGGCACTCTGTTGCAAGAGAGGTCAAATATGAAACTGAACATATGAATGTAATTAGGAGGGCATGTAAAATATGGGGGCTGGATGTCTTCACAGTGTCCAAAGCAGGCATGTCTTGACATGCCATTGGTTGAAGAGGATTTTAAGTATTCCAGTCTGTCAGACAGTGTATCTGATTACATCTGAAAAGAGTTTCTTAGTCTTTTGCTCATGTGATTTTTCTCATATTTCAAGTATAGAAGTTTGATTCTGAAAGCCTAGCATGCAGAAACAGTCACCTGTTTTTGAAATACATGAAATAATATCTTTTTATTACCAATGCTAGTTTTGGAAGAAGATGTGAAAAAGTCCAGGTTCTTCCCATACGTGCCCTATACCCATTCTGAGGCAAAGTATGTTCTAAGGAAATTTATGTATGCTACCTGGAGCTGCATATAGCAGATTGGGATGGGGTTTTTTCAACCATTTGTATTTTCATATGATATAGAGCTGAGTAGGGGTTCTTTCTATTGTTTCACAAATGATAAGGGAATGGCTAAAATTTGCACCAAACTGATGTACAAAAATCTAACTCTACCTTTTGCCTATGATTTGCATTTTCTTTTAAACCTTTCCAAGTGAAGCAGTAGGCAAAACCCCCGGCAACCAGAAGCATGTGCAAGGATGCAGAAAGCTTTAGAATATGTTTCCACACCCTGCTGACCTATTCATCAAAAAGTCTGCCAAAACACGTAACTCTCAGTATAAAACAAAATTCACAAGAAAGGGCCTCTCTTGCATTAACCTGCTTCTTTCCAGGTTGCATGCCACTGCATATCTCCTAGAAGAAGGGGAACTGAGCCCATTATGTGACTTTTCTGTCACTCCTAGGAGTGACAGCTCCTTGGCAGAGGGGGGAACTAGTGGGAGCACCCCCCCTCAGCACTGGTGATGGGTCACACTGGGACCCTGAGCTGAGCCAAGCAGATGCTATGGTTCTCTGGACGAGGCAGGAGTGAGCTGTCAGCTGCATGACCGCTTGACCTCACGTTAACCGGTGCTGTGCATTATCACCTCAGGCCAAATGCCACTCTAGTGAAAATTCAGTGACTTAGCCGAGCTGCCTCCGGCAGGAACTATGTTCCCACTGTGATCATTGGTTTCCTGAGGTCAGGGGTGGTGAGCGATACTAGGTTTAGATGTGCCTGGCTCTTTCTTTTCCCAGCTGTCTCTCAGTTTGAAACACCATCCCAGTCCAGGAGCATCATGCAATCTCAGGCTAAGGTTCTCACAATCCCAGAGAACACTTGTGGAGCCATAAACTTGACATCAATGGCTTCAAACGGAAAGTAGTCCTCCAAACTGAAGTAGACAAGGGAGTATCTTCCTCACTTCCTGCATCCCATGTGCCAATTTTCCAGATTTTAATACAAAGTCCCCTTTTATATTTTGTGGGCACGCACATAAATGAATACACACACACACACATGTACACATGTTTTATTCCAGTTTTGTACCAGTTAGACACCAGGCCCGATAAGAACAACATCAAAAAAATCATGCTGGTACTTAATGTTTTTGTAGCTCTACTGAGCCATAAGGACACTCCTCTGCAGTGCAGGGGTTTTCCCACATTATCAATGTTGGTGATGGAGGCAGGGATGCTATAGTGCTCTGCAAGAGATGGATCCCAGTTCTCAAGCTCCTCAGGCCCTGGCAGGAAATGGTAGACCTATATCCAGAGCGGCCCTGTGACCCTTGGAAGCCCAGCTGGTCCATGTGTCCCTTCCTCTTCCCCAGTGTTCACTCCAGCAGCCTGATGAGATGGGGCACAGCCACTGGTGAGTGACGGGATGGGTACAGGTGCAGCATGAGGTGCAGCATGAGAGGCTTCTGCTACAGCTCCAAAGTGATCCCACTGCTGAGGTCCCTTCCCAGCCTGCCATCCCAGCCTGTTCCCTTTTGCCCCAGGAGCACCCTCAGCACAGCAGGATGGGGGCACCTGGGCAGGTTTAGCTGCTCTGCACCTGTTGGTGCTGCCGGATTTGCTCCAGCAGCAATGCAGGTAAGATGCCAAGGGCAGCGTTAGGCAGAACCAAGCAGCCAGAGTGGGGGAGAGTGGGACCACTTCTAGTGGCAGCACCAGCTCATTGTGCCCACCAAGGCAAAGCTGCAAGTGTGCTGCATGCTCTCCTCCAGTAACTCACCCATATCCAAGACCATCTGGATCAAAGACAGGATGAGATGGTGCTCTGGAAACCAGGGCCAAGCTCTTCTCTTCATCATGGCGCTCTGGGGTGGTGATTTGGTCTGCTATTATGTAAGATTTAACAAAAGCTGTATAACAAAACTATTTTAAGTAAGAATGTTAATTGAAGGCTGAGTCAGGCTGCAGCTAAAGCAGAGATGTTTTTGAGAGGCTTGTACCCTTTTTCATTTGGTCTGTATTTTTTCCACTTAATTACAATGTGTGTGTAACAGCAGCTAGCAATAATAGTAACTGGCAGAGGGAAAATGGATGATCAAGATGATCACCCTCTTGCCTCTGGATCAGCCATTGAAACCCATCCCAGATCTGCAATATTCAAAAGTCATCAACCTCTGAGGCTGCACAAGGCGTATGGGAAGTGGAAGCAGACCATGGAGCAAAGAGGCAGCTGCTTAGTGCTCCTGATCATGATGAACACTGTGTTGAGACTGTGATGAGATGTGTTAGGGGGCAGGTTGTTGAGAGATGCCTATCTGGCACCTTCCAGGAGCACATGCAAGACCCCTGAATCAGCAGAGAGTGGTGGCTGTGCAAGCAGCCTCTGCAGCTACCCCAGTGAGCTCACTGACATGCCCATTCCTCAAGCATGATGCAAGGTTCTTGGCAGGACCCATTATGAAGATGACTGGTCCCTCATCCAGTCCTATTTGGGAGACTAAGTGATACCCCAGTCCCAGCCTTTGGCAAGTTCCTTTAATGACTAAAATTCGCAGGAGGAGACTGAGTTTAATTGCCAATTCCAGCACAGGTCTACCAGTTATTAATGTTGCTGGTGTTCTTTTAATCAAATATGAACTCAACTGTACTTCCTAGCAGGCACCTCTCTTTGGAGCTCAGCGTGAGCAGGAGGGATGTATGTTCCTGGAAAAGGGATGTGCATGATTTTTTTGCCTGAAACTACACATGGACAGGATGAGGTAATGCAATACAGATCAGCTCTAAGTTTACGAATGCATCATTAATGCATTAATGCAACTCGTAAGTATTGCTCCTCAGCATTGCTACGCAGTATTATACTACTCATATGACAGAACGTACAAGAAGACAAAGTACTCTTTTTTACTTGTTTTTATTACATATTACACTGCAGTCATCAAAAAGATAAGGCTATGATGGGCTGAAGCACAGAGAAGAGCATTTCTTCCCTCCTCTGACTGCGCAGAATGCTCTCTGAGGGGTTCCCTGCAAAGGAGGGGTACTGCCTGGGCATCAGGAGGAGAGAAAGGGAGAGAATCAGATGAAGTGCCAGGATGCCAAAACCAAATTTTGGTTCTATTTCATGTTTTCTCAGATTTGGGCACATTTCTGTTGGCTCTTGTTACACTGCAAAATTGAAATACTATAGCTGCAATGATTAGCAGAAACATGGGCACCTCAACCATATCTCAATGTGGCTGGAACAAACCAAGGCTGCAGCCTAATGCACCATTTTGCAGCCTTTGCATGCCAATAGCCAAAATTCCTGTGGAAGGAAGACTGGCCTGTTCAAGGGACAGTCTTTTAGCAGCTGCACGTTGCTCCCTGTGTTAAAGTGTTTCACAGGGCAGGGGGACAGGGAAGCATGGGCAGGGAAGGGCACCAGCACAGTTCATCTTGCTACCCAGCTAGGTGAGTGTGTCTGGTTAGCTACCCAGTGTTTGGTAGCTATAAAATCCTAGCAATTGCTGGGGAATCAGAGAGGGAATCCACTTCTCCTCTCTTCTGTCTCTTCAAGTCTCTTTGAACTAGCTTTGGCAGATTTGTGAGGAGGCCAAACCCATCACCACCTTCCCCCCTGAGTCCCCAGCCCTTCTAGGTGCCTGTGCCCTGCAGGGAGGACAAGGCAACCGCTGGGTGAGTAGAAAAATGGGATTGCAAAATGGCTGGTGCTGCCAGGAACCCTGGAGGTCAGCAGCAGCACAGAGTACCTTCAGCTGGGCTGCCTGCCCCACCGATGGTGGTCCTGTCCTGCCCCAAACTGTGGGGCCATGGCCATCAGCAGTCGAGGCAGGGAGGCCTTTGGGGACTGAGAGTTCTTCTGGCAGGCCCAGGAGGTAACTTGCCAGCTGGAGCTGTCAGCAAGCGCCAGTTTGCTGCTTCAGTGGGATGTTTGGGTAATGCAGGAACTCCCATGTTGGAAACAACATTAACAGCCCTGGCCCATGCTTCAAGAAGGTCTGGGCCTCATTTTTGACTTTTATTTTGTGTGAGGACCCCACTGCCAACTCCCACAAACAGGAAAAAAGCATTTCCCAGCCTGAACTCCTCAGCCCATCTGAGAAAGCCCTTGGCTCAGCCTCCCTGGGGCTCCTGTTTGTGCTTTGCTCAGGCACAGCAACCCTTCCACACATGCAGAAAGGGAAGCTCTGCCCCTCTGCAGCTACTCAGGGCTCTGCATGCTGCATCATCATGGGCTCAGGGGAATGAAGCACAGACAAGGCATATAACTATCTGGGAGCTTAAAAAGAAGGAGTTTTAAAGCCCTCTGTAATTTTTTCAACAGATGATCTGTTTCTGTTCTTATTTTGTAACGTTTCCTGTGGAGTCCACGCCCCTGTCCAATTTTCGAAGGGTACTTGGAAGCCTGTCGACTCCCGCACAGAAGGCAGGGATCAGAGCCAGCACAGTGTCATGGAGGGGTCACGGCTTCCTGGGCTTCCTGTTTATTTTGGGAAGGGGTCACTCGGCCAGCCGGCCGCTCTGCCTGCACCTCGGGAAGCCCCCCGCCACCACATTCCTGCCCCCATCGCCCATGGATGCAGACAATTGCTGACTGTGGCTCAAAATGCAGAGCACCAAGGCGGGGTGTAAAGGGGATAACCCGATATGGCTATTTACCCAGCCTGGGGATAAGGGACGGAAGGTTTTCCACATCAATTACCCTTTCTTCTGGTATCTGGAAGTGTCTCTCTGAAGTTTTTCTTTCTCTTCCAAGGGTAGTAACTTCTGAAATTCTCAAGTACTTCCATGATCTTTTCCTTGATATTTTTTTTCTACTTCTACTTGAAAAGAAAGCATAAAGTCAACTGCACTGCACAGTTAAAAACAGAATTGTTTGCTTTTTTAAAGAAAGCATGCAATTTTTGCTCCAAACTGTCTAGGGTAGAGCCCACCAACGGAGCAGAAGCTGTAGCACCCAGGCTCTTGTTCGCAGTGTGAGTCCCTTGTAACTAGTCCTGCCCAAACTGTCTAGAGCAAAACACTGGAGCAGAATATCAGCGTACATACGTATTTCAGGAGATGGTACACCAGTCTCCTGCTGCTGTTTCCTTTTCTAGGCAGGCTCTACTTAGGTGCCTCACAGCTCTTCAGAAGTTAACACGAAACAGCAGCGTTCAATGCAGCTGTTTTCAAGGAGTTAATAAAAGGCACCATGTATGGGAAAGGGCAGACACTGAGTAGCTGCTCAAGTCCCTCTCAATCCTCTGGCATGTCCTGCCTTGCAGGGAGCTAGTGCAGTGACCTCTCTCCAGCCTCAGTAGAGTATTTCTGTGCCAGTGCCTCTGTCAGCTCCTGCCATCAACAGTCAGCTCCAGGCTGCAGGGCAGCCGTCAGCATGCCACTGACAAGCGGCTCTCAGGCAAGCGTGCTCTCACCCGATGAGCACGTAAGTGCACATGGCTTTACATTCATAGTGATGCTCCCGTGAATAAAGTTATAAGTGGTTGTAAACATCTGCAGGATCGGTGGCTTACCATGAGCCTGTCCAAAGCCTATTTATGTCAACAAGCTGTGCCTGATTACACTCTCATTTGCATCAGTATCTTTTTTTTTCCCTGTGGCACTAACATTCTTGGCCCACAATCACCTGCATCTGACTAAATCCAAAACCTCAAGGACTATTCCCAGCCTCTCTTCTCTCAGTTCTGGGAGAACAAGCTCCATGATTCATTATGGATCAGTGAAGGAGAGGTGGTAGCACTCTCCAACATAATCACTTTTCCATCTTGGCTCTGGCCATTTTGATACTACCCTGCAGGACTTCTGCCGCAACAGAAGGATGCCAATAAGAACTGTGGAGGAAGCAGTGTATATCTGCTGGATGAGTATGTGAGAGCGTTCTCGATGGGGAGGGAAAGAGGAATGCCAAGGGCACAGGAGAGCAAGTGAGGAGCACTGGTTTGGACACAGAAGGAAGGGCAGGCCCCATGGGGGATAAATATGTGGGTAAAGTGCAGGCTAGGGGCAAAGTTCTGGGACAAGGATCTGCATGCGATCACTTCTACTAGCACAGAGGACAGGTGGGAAAGTAAATAGGATCCTGCAGGGAGAAAGAAAAACACAGTAAAATCTCAGTGTGGTTCACTGAAAAAAGCCAAAAAACACACAGTGAAAAGGGGCTTGCCATGGCAATGTAGGGGTGGCAGACAGAGTTCATCTCAAAGAGCTGCCCTCTCCAACCTTTCCTCTCCCTTCTTTCCCTAACCCATGATACTGGGCACACCAGAACAAGACAAAGGCTTTCCACACCGTGCTAGACCCCCATCCATGCTACCATGGTGCTCCTTGACCAGGCACTGCCCCGGACCTGCCCAGCCCCACATCCCATCAGACGTCCTCCAGCACTCACTGCTCCTACCTATAGCCTTGGTGTGTCATAGCAAGCGGCATTTCACAGAGATCAGGCACAAAAGGATGGTTTCTGTTTCAAAAATGAGAAAAAAAAGGGAACAAGAAACAAACGCATTATTTGTTCAATTCCTGTGCAGTTACTGCTGTAGCAGTCAGCAGCTTTGAGGTATTTTTTTTTGTGATTTGATACATAAACCGCATTTCCTATGTAGCACTGCCACTATTTTTTATCAGCTTTTTGTCATTGAGCTCAGGAACATGGGTTTTTGTTTGGCTTTTTTTTGCCTTTTCCACCAGAATGAATTCAAAGGCAGTAAATGCGGCAGAACTAGAATACTGCTCGTCTTGACTTTTCCATGCAGCTAGTTTTGATTAAAAATAAAGGAAAATGAATACAGATCACATTTTCTGTCCTGCAGTTAAAAGCCTGCCACAGCTGAAAGCCTTGCTTTCTTCTTCCCCTGCAGCCTTGCTCAGCTAGCACTCCATCTCTGCTTATGATCTGAAATGTGCAAACACACTGTTTCTTGGCTTTCCACCAGTATATATAAATATATGTAATTTTTTCCTTCGGAGAACCTGGAGGCTAAAGCAAGAGGGCAAAGGAGTACGTGACTAAAACATCCAAACTTCCTCTTTCATAAGCCATCACATGATGAAGTGCAATTACAATTCCTGCCTTGTCCCTGCCAATTGCAGGCTCGTTGCCTCATCCGAGAAACCCGGCTTCTTCCCCCCCGTGTGTGTGAGCGTGTGTGTGTGTGGAGGCAGCGATCGCTGCAGCCGCCTTGGCGAGACTCCAGCTTCGAGCTGGAGAAAGAGGGCAGTGGGTGGAAGACGAAAACAAAGATCTGTTTACTTAGCATGCATGGATAAATCGTCTTTCCAGCCGGGGAGAGGAGGAGGGAAGAGAAACAGCTTTAAAGGACTTCGATGCAATGCGAAAGGAGGGCTGCTCGGTAAAAGCGAGCCGATGTTAACCCTTGGCTCTCCGGGAGCACGTCAGGGCCCCGGCAGGGTTGTGCCCTTCTCCTTGCTCCTGCCCCCCGGCCTCGGCCGGCCGCCTCAGAGCGGGTACGAGCTGTGAAGGCTCCGGGGGCAGCCCCCGGGGCTGCAGCCCTGGCCGCCGCCAACGTGCGGGGCTGGTTCGGGGGCCAGGACGGATTTTGATTTCGTTTGTGTACAGCTCGGCGCCGCCAGGACGCTCAGCCGGGCGTGCAGTTGCAAAGTCACCCAACCTGGCAGGGAGGCCAGCGCTGGAGCCAGCGCCAGGACGACGAGGAGGCCGGGGCAGGGTGAATCAAGGTCCCACCACGGCGGCCCCAGGGCGCACAGGAGGCCGCGACATACCCAGCCCCCGGCCCCGGCGCGGGGCGAGTGGGGGGCGACTGCTGCCCCCACTGCCTGCCCGACCCCCGCGGCGGGCCGAGGAAGAGCAGCTGAGAAGCTGCGCTCTTCCCGGGGCCAGCCCCACAACGCCCCGTCCGCGCCGTCGGGCATCTCCCAGCCGCGGGGAGCCACCTCCCGGCGGCGGCAGCGGACGTCAGAGCTTCCCCGGCCCCGGCCGGCCCCCGCTTCCCGCCCTCCTTCCCTCCCTCCCTCCCCCGTAACCTACATAACGCCGTGGGAAGGGCGGCCCGAGCACGGCTGTCGGAGGGAGCAGCCTTCGCCGTGTTTACCCTGCACGGGCAGACGCGTGCAGCCGGCCGTACGTGCCGGGATGCGCCCGGTGAGGGGTTGCTTCACCTTCCATGGCAAACGGGAAGAGCGAACACCCTCTTTTCCTCCCTCCCTTGCCCCCGCCCTGTGTTTCGGTGTGGATGCAGGCAGCGGATGAGCAATTCGCAGCGTGTATGGGGCACAGGGAAACACGTCTGCAAGTTTTTGTTTTTTGAGGGAAGGAGACGGCGTTTGCTTAGTCTGTGTGAATTTCGCTAATCTGCATTAGAGAACCGCTGGTTTGTGGTTGAAAATGACAGGAAATCTAGAGCGTCCTATTTCCTGTGCACAATGACAACAGTTAAGAACAAAAAAAAAAAAAGCTGGGTAATCGTTGTATTTATTTTTAATGGTGCCTCCTGGCCCGGCGGGGAGAACAAAGCTGACCCGTGCCCGGGGGTGGCGATGACCGACCCGGCGGGAGATAGCCCGGGCACCGCGCCGTGCCCAAGGTCACAGGGCGAGCGAAGCGGAAGGCAGGAGAGGGGACATCGAGCACCTCACTACGCTCACGGGTGGGAGGTTTCGGCAAAGCCCCTCAGCGGCGCAGGAAATAGTAATGAACTCAACAATAATAAAAATAAAATCAGAGAAGGAGGGAGCTGCAGCGCACTCCCGCCCCTCGCATTGTCCCTCTCCGCTCCCACAGCCCTCTCCGGGGGCGAGACGGGGCGGGGGCGCAGTGGCCCTCCGGCAGCAGGAGGAACCCCCGGTGCCGGTGGCGGTGCCGGTGGCGGGGGCGCGGGCAGGGGCCGGCGCTGGGATCGCGGCGGCGGCGGCGGGGCGGGGGCGCCCATCGCGCAGGCGCGGCCGGCACTGTCGAAGAATTGAGGCGGCGGCGCGCAGAGGCGGCGGTGGCGGCTGGAGCCCGGCACGGCACGGCGCCGCCGCCAGCCCCGGCCCCGGCCCCCGTGGC